AGCTTTTTGTAGCGAATTTAAACTCACTCATAATGTTATGATATATTTCAAATATCAGTATTTCATGAATATGACTATGTATTAAGTCTATGTATCATTTAATTTGTTAATGCGAGAACACTATTTTTATTTTTCTAAACAAACAAATACGATAAGTCGATATTTCGCATCGCGTGACGTTTACTGTTCACATAATCTGATATCACTATTTACATTTGTTGTGATAAATATGTTCTTGTTTTGTTTGTAAACAGCAGTTAACATGCCTATATCTCATTATACTCAGTATTAAAATGTTCAATAAAAATGTTAAAATTAAAATTGATCCTAACCGCCGCGAATTCTATCGTTGTAGGGTTTTAACTAATAAATAAAAGGAATATTTACAACATTATTCCGGATTAACGACCGGATTAACGATTAATGACAACGTGTCAATGTTGCGAATGTATACAAATTATTTCATGTATCATTTTGCCCCACAACTTGATCTCGCATAACTAACACCTAAGACGCGTGTTGTTTTTGGTGAGCATTTGTGTAGCATTACATGAAAATAAAATAAAGACAATGTGAAGCTAATCAAATTCACTACAAATCGATAATATTTTAACTATTTGTTGTTTGCAGCTTGTCCTGGTGTTTTAAAGGCACAGAGACAATATAATGTGCTGGGTGCCACTCACCGCGCCCAGTGCCACTCACCTCGTCATTTAACACACAGTGGAACACAAAAATGAAGAGTCCCTGTATATATAAAAAAAAATGGTGAGAATTGTATCATGTTAGTGCTACAATACAATTCCAATAACGCAAGTAACCCGACGAGATAACAAGTACATTATCAAGTTGGTATTTCGCCCTCACTTTGTGCACATGAGTTATAATCTTATAACATTCATTTAATCACAATTGTGTCAATTATGGGAACACTTTTTATATATACCGTCGACGTTCCACTAATTCGACATTGATATGCAAATGAGCACCGAGTTCAGAATCTAGAGACACATCGTATTGAAACAGTGTTTAATAAGCGATCATTAGATTAATTATGTGATAAAAGACCCTCATCAAGCATTCCTTAGAGATTATAACTGGTCCGAAGAAGGACCCCTCTGCAAAAAGCAAAATGCCATGGTGCTGACCACATCAGTGTATCTTGTGGCATATTTTGGCGATGAACAATTTATAAGTAGGACTTGAATAATTGACATAAATTTACATTCCGGAAAAAATATTCACGATAGTCTCCAAATTGTATAAGCGTGCACATACCTATTATTCAATACACACAAATTTCAAATTGGTTCAAACACAATAGTATGTACTAAATCTACCTGCAGTGAATTGAGAATAGCGAATATGTACTGGAAAGCAACTGTTGATTCGTCAATCGCCAGCAGACCAAACGCCCAGGTTAAACCCAGTAAAGGCAGCAATAAAGCCGTTGCACGCACACCAGACCTGAAATAGAAATGGAACAGTGGTAAAAAATATGTCGCCTTCATGGTGTGAAATCTAACACGATATTATTTAATGACATCATTATATGAGTGCTAACGACGTTAATCATGTATATAGCTTCGGCTATATGCTTAACATTTAGGTACCCAGCCTGGAAAATCAGGCAAATAGCACCCCTAAGCGATGGCTAAGACTTTTATGACCGTGATTCGGCACATTTTTATGGGATTGTAACAAAAGAGCCCCCCTGGTATGTAAATCATGGCGAACCTCTGTAGGCACTGATTGTTCGGTGTAGTCTCAGAGATATGCAGACAGGCTGAATAGAAATCAATGTGCTGTGTATCCTCAACTCGTTCTCAGTATCCACAACTCATTCTCAGTATCTACAACTCATTCTCAGTATCTACAACTCATTCTCAGTATCCACAATTCATTATCAGTATCCTCAACTCGTTCTCAGTATGCACAACTTGTTCTCAGTATCCTCAACTCATTCTCAGTATCCACAACTCTTTTTCACTATCCTCAGCTCGTTCTCAGTATCCTCAACTCGTTCTCAGTATCCACAATTTGTTCTCAGTATCCACAACTCATTCTCAGTATCCACAACTCTTTTTCACTATCCACAACTCGTTCTCAGTATTCTCAACCTGTTCTCAGTATCCTCAACTCGTTCTCAGTATGCTTAACTCGTTCTCGGTATCCTCAACTTGTTCTCAGTATCCTCAACTTGTTCTCAGTATCCTCAACTCATTCTCAGTATCCAAACTCTTTTCCACTATCCTCAACTCATTCTCAGTATCCTCAACTCATTCTCAGTATCCACAACTCTTTCTCACTATTCTCAACTCATTCTCAGTATCCTCAACTCATTCTCAGTATCCACAACTCTTTCTCACTATCCTCAACTCGTTCTCAGTATTCTCAACTTTTTCGCAGTATCCTAAAATCGTTCTCAGTATCCACAACTCGTTCTCAGTATCCCCAACTCGTTCTCAGTATCCTTAACTCGTTCTTAGTATCCTCAACTTGTTCTCAGTATCCTCAACTTGTTCTCGGTATTCTCAACTTATCCTCAGTATCCACAACTCTTTCTCACTATCCTCAACTCGTTTTCAGTGTCCACAACTCTTTCTCACTATCCTCAACTCAATCTCAGTGTCCTCAACTCATTCTCAGTATCCTCAACTCATTCTCAGTATCCACAACTCTTTCTCACTATCCTCAACTCGTTCTCAGTATTCTCAACTTTTTCTCAGTATCCTAAAATCGTTCTCAGTATCCACAACTCGTTCTCAGTATCCACAACTCATTCTCAGTATCCTCAACTCATTCTCAGTATCCTCAACTCATACTCAGTATCCACAACTCTTTCTCACTATCCTCAACTCGTTCTCAGTATTCTCAACTTTTTCTCAGTATCCTAAAATCGTTCTCAGTATCCACAACTCGTTCTCAGTATCCACAACTCATTCTCAGTATCCTCAACTCATCCTCAGTATCCACAACTCTTTCTCACTATCCTCAACTCGTTCTCAGTATTCTCAATTTTTTCTCAGTATCCTCAACTCATTCTCAGTATCCACAACTCTTTCTCACTATTCTCAACTCATTCTCAGTATCCTCAACTCATTCTCAGTATCCACAACTCTTTTTCACTATCCACGACTCGTTCTCAGTATTCTCAACCTGTTCTCAGTATCCTCAACTCGTTCTCAGTATCCTTAACTCGTTCTCAGTATCCGCAACTCTTTCTCACTATCCTCAACGCGTTCTCAGTTTTCTCAACTTTTTCTCAGTATCCTAAAATCATTCTCAGTATTCACAACTCGTTCCCAGTATCCACAACTCGTTCTCAGTATCCACAACTCTTTTTCACTATCCACAACTCGTTCTCAGTATTCTCAACCTGTTCTCAGTATCCTCAACTCGTTCCCAGTATCCACAACTGGTTCTCAGTATCCTCAACATGTTCTCAGTATCCTCAACTCATTCTCAGTATCATCAACTTGTTCTCGGTATTCTCAACTTATCCTCAGTATCCACAACTCTTTCTCACTATCCTCAACTCGTTTTCAGTGTCCACAACTCCTTCTAACTATCCTCAACTCAATCTCAGTATCCTCAACTCATTCTCAGTATCAGTATCTTCAACTCATTCTCAGTATCCACAACTCTTTCTCACTATCCTCAACTCGTTCTCAGTATTCTCAACTTTTTCTCAGTATCCTAAAATTGTTCTCAGTATCCACAACTCGTTCTCAGTATCCACAACTCATTCTCAGTATCCTCAACTCATTCTCAGTATCCTCAACTCATTCTCAGTATCCTCAACTCATTCTCAGTATCCACAACTCTTTCTCACTATCCTCAACTCGTTCTCAGTATTCTCAACTTTTTCTCAGTATCCTAAAATCGTTCTCAGTATCCACAACTCGTTCTCAGTATCCACAACTCTTTTTCACTATCCACAACTCGTTCTCAGTATTCTCAACCTGTTCTCAGTATCCTCAACTCGTTCCCAGTATCCACAACTCGTTCTCAGTATCCTCAACTCATTCTCAGTATCCTCAACTCATTCTCAGTAGTCTCAACTTTTTCTCAGTATCCTAAAATTGTTCTCAGTATCCTATTTATTGTATAAAACTATTTATTGTATCGCTTGTATTAAATTAGGTATTTGTAATGCTACTAATGATTCTTAGTTTTTTTAATGTGTGTATGCGCAAACTGATTTTCAACTATAACTTTGACTTCAGTGCAAACCAATTAAAACGATAGTAGTACCCTGACTCACAGTACGAATACATGCACATTGCATTCACAATATCAATGTCATAGTGAGTAGACACGCTAATATTATCAGAGACGTCTTATTCAGAATAGGGGAGGGTCCTTAAAATATATATTATGCAGTGTATGCTTTTTCTTAAAAGCACAGTGTTGAGGGTCATGCATTACATATAGTACGCAATATATGTAGGATAAAAGCTAGTATTAACCATGAGGTTACCTTATTTTCTCTACATCGGTTTTGTCTTTGTTGGATTTGACGCTCATAAACACTTTAATCACAAGAATGAGAACAACGGTGTTTACCTGCATTAACAGAAAAACATGTTAATAGTTCATAATAACTGTGTTGATCGCACCAAATGTGGTACATAATAATAGTGAAACTTCCTTGCAGGTTTAACCATCCGTGGTCAAGTGTTCTTCGCGCAGTATGAGATATAATGTCATAACTTTCAGCTTACGGAAATTATATCATATACTTCAGTGTTCCTTGCTCTTAACGTTTGACGAAATAAGATATAGAGGAACGTACGATCGATGTTTTTAGCAATACAGGTACTACATCTAAACCGATACTTCTTCGAATCACTATGCATACAACCATTGGGATATTTGGCAACATGTATCCGAGTTCTGACTTGTCGCTTTCCCCAACTCACACAGGGTGTGGCCGACTCAAAGTTGTCAGGCGCCACAGTGTGGGAATGGGATTGGTGATCATGAGTGACACTCACCAGAATGACGAGCAGAGCAGGACCAACAAATGCCCAGATAGTATCACGTTCAACTGATAACCAACAACTGAAATACGTTCAGAACATTGCTCATTAGAGGTGACTGCCATACACAGAACAATATATGAGTGATTAGAGTCGGATTATTATTATTGTATGCCTGAGGAATCATATATTTAATGGTCAAAATACTGATAACAGAGGTGACCAATGATGATGTCGATATAGAGTTATAATCCACGAAAAGGGATAACCACGTGTACATACCATGCCACATTATTTTTTGTAAATTAGCAATTATATAATTAAACAAAATTAGAGTTGTTCTTGATTTCAGTAGTGAATCTACGACTAAGTGTCCGCTTGTAAATCGGGGGTTGATTAAAGTCGGTCTCCACAATGTCACCTGTATAATATACTAGCTTACACGATATTCCACTTACTGAGAATCTGTTCCGTAACCACGGTAATCAAGCGCTAATGTAATCCCGACAACGATGGCGGGAAATCCTGTGAAACAGAATGGAAATTGGAAAGATGATGTGTTTGGAATTAATATTTTATTTATAAAAAAACGCATGTAGTCGGCGCACAATTGTAGTGAAACATATTCCCTATCTCCCTTGTGTGTTATATTAAATATGACTATGACACACACACTCAGTCATTGGTCATTTAAATCCATCAAATACGTTATGTAGGCGTCACTCACCCCATCCGAAAAGACAAAAGTAAAGAACCCGGATGTTGGAATTAAACACTTTTCTTATCTTCATGAAAAGCTGAACTCCCTGGACCAACATCCATGAAAATACAGCCAGATACAAATAGTGAAGCAACACAGCAACAACTGTACACAGAGTCTGTAAACATAAAATGTTTGTATCATTGTGGTTACAAGTGTCAAGTTTTATTGCCCTCAATACGTAACAACTATTGTTTGTAAACAGGCCGTAGTAGAGAGAGGGGAGAAACAAAAACATTCTGAAGTAAGCTATAGCAGTGTGTTTAAAAAATACACTTTGAATGCAAATTTGAGGTGGTGAGAGTTTTTGAGTAATGTGAAAATAGAACATATTGTAATCAACATTCTTTAACAAAACAGAAAATGTATATTTTCTATTAACTGTTAATTTTCACTCTTAACGCATGAAACCAATTAGCATACAATTTAGGCAAACTTACGTTCAAAGGAAACTAGGTTTAGAGAGCATCGCGTCTATATATGTTGCAGAGAATCGTGTAAATATATACACCTCAAATGTTCATGGATTACCGATGTATGGTGTCCGGGGGGTTCGACAAGGTGTGTGCATTAACTTACCTCATTGTGTGTGGCGTTTATGCCAGTGATAAACAACATCTCCGCCATCATTAATGCAACTATCAGGTTTTTCAGTATTATGATACGTGTAGATGTCAGTTCTCTGCGAACATATACAAAATGCAATTAAGTTATACCGTTTTCGATAAGTTTATTCCAATAAATAATTAACTGTTTGTTTATTGAGATTACTATGTAAAAAAGAGTGCATCAAGCACTATATATATTTGTTAGAATGTAGCTCACCTCAGATATAGAAGTAACGCCAGGGCCAATAAGAGACAAATAAGTGACAGGGAACATCCAACATACGTAATAATAGTGAGTGCAGTTTCATCAGCAGCAGATAGCTGCAATACAAAAAATTATTAAAATCAGCCTTCTGGACTTGATTTGATTTGCATATTTGATTTGATTATTAATCCGAGGATTACACACCTCAATATTATTGACTGACATCAATACTGCAAAGTTTGTAAGATGGTTGCAAATGCATTCTGTGCTTGATTCAGTGGTGGTCCCCGTATGGCACCCTCTATCAGACCACAAATAACTGCAGATAAAATAGATAGTGACAAGATAAACGTAGGGCTGTAGTGTTTCCATGATAACTATTGTTCTTTTTATCTATATACGTGTTCAAAACAAAAAATGTTCAGTATATACTTACTTTTCGTCAAGGAAAACACACTCTGGGCTAAAGAAACTTGTCTGAAATAAATATGAATTAAAGTAAAATAAATATATAGATATAATTATATTACAGATCGATGTGCATGCTAATTGGCAATTGCTTATTTGCATAAATAGAAGAACATTGTTATATAATTGTTTTTTGAAACATTGTTTCATACAAAATGAGTGTGAAACAAACTTACATTTGTATTCGAGAACAATATCCTAACATCTTTACTAAACGTCTCGCCCACTGCTTCAGGATGGATTGTGACTGACATAATGGGCGTATTGATATTTGTACCGCTGGAACTATTTGGAAGAAAAGTTAAATTGACACATCAGTTTGTGTGCAGTGTTTACATATTTCACTGTTCAACACCAACATACGAATTGATAGATAACAACTGACATAATTATCAACTACTGGCGACTAAGTTTACTAGTTCAAACATTGTAAAAAATGTCGGTTAAACGTGTCAATAAATAAAAAATACAAACAATAGTAAAACAATCGAATTCACACAGACATAACATATATCTTAATAACCACTTTTTACATGCATGCGACTTTCAAAAGTTTGGGATGAATTATGAATAGGAACGTCAATATCTAAAAGTTGTTACTAAATTACTAAATCTGGATGTAATTTAATTTGTGCACAGATGAAGTAAGCATATATGAAAAAATATTAATACATCGATAATCAATTTAACATCAAGCTGACACACTGGTATTGCAGCGCTGGGCGTACATATTCGTATATACTACCAACACTGCCATATCAGATGACTATGCACTAAGTGAGAGAGAAAAGGACCACTATATTATCGATGATGGATGAAGTATCTAAACACAAGTAGATGCAACAATCATTGTATAATCCGAGGCATGTATACACATAGTTGAAATGTTAATAGCAACAAGAAGTGATAAGGACGAAATAGGTTCCAGATCTCATCAAAAGAAGCAATGACTATATCTACACTGTCTTTTAATTATCTCGTTAATGTGGGTGCCAGTTCTCAAATAAAGCTGAACATAAAACAACATGCCAACAACTCCCAAGACGGTCAGAAATAACATCAAATCGGAGAGAAGCTTCTCATCGGATGTGAAATCTGAGATGGGAGCAGGTGGTAAAGCGGTCAATCATCTACTCATGAGTAATTTGAAAGCAAAGGGAAAACGTTCCCCATATTAACAGATCGTTCCAAATAACAAATTAAGAAGAGAAACATGAGAACACGTGAATTGATGCCAACATGAAAATACATTTTCCTTGGTGACGTCACAGGGCTAACTAGGACGTCAATTTCCTCTGAACTTTGTATCATATTACACAACAAATCAACTCATATCATACAAATACCAGTTATTGCATATAATTTAATTTATGAATATCTTGTATGTGAGTATATTTTATGCTTGTAATATTCGTAAATCTTACTCATTTCGTTCATCGTTCAATAATTCGGATATTCCACTCATAAGAACCGCAATGACACGACGTTCAACAGTTCCTAATGGTTAAACAAATAGTTGACATTTTGAGCTCAACATATCTGTCTAGTTCATTGCAATGACATTAAATACAGACGTATGTCAACAATAGAAGCAATTAATAAAAAAACACGGTAATACGGCATACAACTAATCACAGTAAAATCAACCGGATAGCGTGTTGTGCTTCATTTAGAGAAATCAGAGAAATCTCGGACGCCCTGGGTGTGATGACTGGTGTTATGGTGCGTTATGTAATTCATACCTGATAAAAAAGCCTCCGAAGGTATGTACACGTGGTTATCTCCTTGCGTGAATTCTAGTTCTATATCAACGTCATCATTGGTCACCTCTGTTATCAACTCTGTTATCAACACATACAAAACACTTTGACTATTAGATGTATGACAATATAAGTCGCTAGAATGTTCAAAAGTGCAGTGTAACATTATTGTATTATTGTTTATATTATTTTTATTATACCTAATTTACATATACACACCTAATGTACATAAATATACCCAATGAGTATAATATCTACTTAAATTACACAAACCTACATAATTTGCGTAAATATACCTAATTTACATACACATACCAAGGTTATCTGATTTCACATCAACTGCCTCAAAATTGGTATCCACGATCATTGCAGCAACAAACTCATCCATCGAGTGTATTAAGTCGAGGCCGGAATTCGGATTTTCCTGCAACCAACCAACAAACGAAATGCTATTACATAATCTACAAATCTTGAGTAATGACAGAATTACAAATGTATTTTAATAAATCCAGGATATGGTGTGCTGGATTATGTTACTTTAGATGTCTAATTGTCCAAATGTGAATGCAATATCTCTATTCTGAACACCACACACTAAATTCGACTTCTGTAACAAACCACTCCCTAAGTAAAACGCAAAATCCTAAATAAGCTTTTTAACACCATACATTTTTTGAAGACTGTACCATGAATATGTCCTTTCTTTGAACATACTACCCTAAATAATTGTTTTATCGGACAACTTATCGAAAATGAAATCTCTCCTTTGAACACCATGCCGTAAATGGTATTTTTCTTTGAGCATCATACCCTAAAAGAAATTCTTTGCCTCCAGCATATCATAAATGAGGCAATCTCTTTGAATATTATTATGAATAGATATGTGTAATGTGACTATGTGCCACGTGTTGCGACTGTTATACAGATATAATTCTAACGTTATTCTTACCTGTGCTGATGCTCTCCATAAATGCGAATAATCACTATCGATCAAATTGTCAACAGTAGCAAGAAAGTTCTAGCGATAACAACATTACAGAAAATATGAGATGATTTAGAAGGAATACGAATAAATGTGTGTTAGTAGGATAGTAAATAGAACACACGACTTCCATGTTGAGAAGTGACGCTAACCACAGTACCACATTTGTGTTACTAATGAATGTTAATATCCAGCAATATTTACATGCAAACCTCGTTATATGCACATTGAATATGACGAGAAACACTGGCATTGTATGTATTTACATCTAGTTGTTTTGTTTGTATATTCCCATGTGACATTGCATTTATATACATCTAGTTGTCATGTACGAGTGCTTCTGTGTCGATAATTAATTCTCAGATATGACGTTCAACTCTGGAGTTACGTGGTTAATCATAATACGTCTTCACATTTTTGTTTGCTTTGTATTTGAATACAAATAGGAAAAACACGTCACATTGAATAGTATCCAAGGCAAGGGAAAACACATCATGATTATACCGTATGTCCGTTTTGTAATCATTTTTGTATGAGACAAATCATCAACATAACCTTTCTACTAATCTATAGAATTCGTGTAGTTCACTCGTCGGTAAAGTCTGTATTTCTTAATCGTTTAAACACCTACTTACATTTCTGATTTCATTCTTGTCTTCGGCAAGTGCACTCTTACTATCAAAATTCCCTAACTCTGCTACTTGTTGTAAAATATTCAAAGCTATCATCAGTTCTTCCGATGTTAGTTCAGGATTATTGTTCGTGATATTAGTCAATTGTTTCAACATACTAATAAGTGATGGGAGTGAGTCTGTCCCAGAAATGAACTATGAAATAAGCATGTCATTTGTAATAGATTAAAACGATATGTTTCAAAGATGATGATACTGGAATCGTGGGCACGTACATTAAATACAGTACACTAAATACGTGTTAATTCAGTCACGGCTTTTCATGAACAATATTACTGTTTCTATAATAAGTGAAATATTTATATTGTACAAATACCTTTTTACAAATGCTGTCAAAAGACGAAAGCACGATATCTCAATTCACGAAACCACGTGACATATCGTCTATATATTTGAATTCTTTCGTAAATAATGCTAAATAAATTTACCCGTTCATTGATTTGCACCAATCCCAGTAATTCTTCGGTTGTTCCTGTATTTCCCATTGTAGTGACTGCAAATGTCGACGATTCAGTTGTAATAGTGGGTGTTGTTACTGTCAAAATATACATATATATATATTTATAATCCTGAGTTGGGAACACAGCAATCACGTATCCCTCGATTTAATCAGATGTATATAATTACGTGGTAAATCCACACACATACGACTAATTCATATAATGCCCATACTGTGTAAGGCCTAATTATTCGCTGGGTTTTGTTTTCGTGCATTTCGCTTATAGCAAATTAGCTTATACCTAAATTAAAACCAAGCAAATGAGCAAAGTCAACAATGAAAAGAGACACTTATCCCTGTAAAGTATATATATATGACATGGTTGTGCGAACGTGTGAGTTTTGAATTTATTTTTTTATTGTACACGGGGAAAAAAGACATATATTACAATATGAAACACGGTATACAAACTCATCACAGTAAACATGTCGACATCGCAGACAGATGAGCTACCTATTAATTGATATTACAGTTATCTGTCTGCACAATTGAAATTTTGTGTACGTTTATATACACTCGTGTACAATTACATCCGAGTCGCTTAGCTGCTATAAAAAATAGCAATCCTATGACTTGTAGGTCACCCAACGGGGTTTCATAAAATATGTACAAATATTATATTTGTGTTATATGTTTTCCCGTGTAATTTACATGGAATGTTGGAATAAATGTGCACAATTAATGCATAATGTCGACTCTTAAAAATACGATTACGTCATATTGAAGTGACGAAAACGTGGTAACAACGTGACACAGAGACCACCCACTAAAAGTATACCGTTAAGTAAAATGACACCAGGCCAATGCTGACAGAACATAAACTTCCCCATTGGAGGTTAATAACCGGTACACTGGGATAAACACAACTATCAAACTTTATCTCAAATCGTCTGTCCTGTATTAATATTCAGTATTACACTTTCTTGACATTTATGATTACGATAAATTCAGAGTAAAAACACACGTACATCTAATACCATGTCTAAATGAAAAAAAGTCATATATTTATATTTCAGTGCATCAATAACTTTTGATTGAAAATTCGCAAACTGATGGGTAATGATCCCATTAAATGGACAGTCTCGTATTCATATTGTCATTTTTATGCTTCCATGTCATAAATGAAAAATAATAGATGTGCCTAGAAACCTACTAAAATATTTCACTTTACGCTTTCAGTCAATGTTTGATTATTCATTGCCATAACCAATCACGGATACATATATATTTGTGGAATTTAAAAATGGTAAAACGTATTTATCTATTTCCATTTTCTCTTTACATATTATTTCATTCTCGCATTTCACGAGAGAAAACTCATTGTAGGCATTTCTCCGAATACATGTATAAACGACCATGTATAACCATTACTATTCTTCGATATTCATAAGTATAACTGTTTGTTAACAAGTTGTCGAATTTGTTTTTAAATAGCTAATACGTATCGATTAATGTAAACCCTTTCCGCGTAGCGGGTTTGGGTGAGATAACTGCATCCCGAACTGAAATAAAAGAGTCATTGTACACTCAATATCTTATTAGGACATTGATCGTATATGACGTCACTGCACTGTCATTCTGATTCAGACCGTACTATAAGAGTATAGACGACCAGTAATGCGTGGTAGGTGACATGCAGTATATAGTTGTTTTGAATACATACTAGAAATATAACATGGGCTATTCCATTGCTTATACAGTAACAACAGTTACTTACTGTCCACATGGAGAAAATATGTCTGTGTGAAATGTTAGTGCTGGTATTAATCAGTAGATTACCACTCACCGGCATATACAGAGTCGTATAGAGCAGACACATCCACACTACTCAAGCTATTTTCCCAGAGAGCAAGTTCGTCGTATCGCGCGTTACAGATCGATGTACCACCATCGCCATTCAAATACAATGTATTAGCGGTATTATAATTCCGCGTATTAGCTACACCAGGCGTGATCGATGTGATCTCTACCCCATTCACAAACATGGTCATAGTGGCTGGGAAAATAAACACGTCATATTTGTGGTTAAACATAAATAAACACGTCATATATGTGGTTAAATAAATAAACACGTCATATTTGTGGTTAAACATAAATAAATACATCTTATATGTGGTTAAACATAAATAAACACGTCATATTTGTGGTTAAACATAAATTACACGTCATATATGTGGTTAAACATAAATAAACACGTCATATTTGTGGTTAAACATAAATAAACACATCATATATGTGGTTAAATAATTAAACACGTCATATTTGTGGTTAAACATAAATAAACACATCTTGTATGTGGTTAAACATAAATAAACACGTCATATTTGTGGTTAAACATAAATAAACACGTCATATATGTGGTTGAACATAAATAAACACGTCATGGATCATAAATTTGTGTGAAATGTAACGCATGTCGGTATGTAACCAAAGCGGCCAGTTCTAGGTGAAATGAGGTGTTGTGAGTCTGAAGTAAAGATATATGTTTCAACTAACCACTCGTTTGGCTCCATACGATTACAACATGATTCCAGTAGTCTGTATTCTGATCTGTTAGTATATCGTAACCATGCGACCATAAAGTGCTCCCATCGTAAATGTCAAAGGTCAGTAGGCCATAGTCGCTTGCACCAGGATCGACACTTCCACCGTAGTGTATCTGTAATGTAACGACAGGATATTTTGTCTCGAATATGGTTAACGAAGGATATTGCATTAAATTATGAATATCGAACTAATAATAACTAAAATCGCATTTTATTAAGGATATATTATCGAAGGTATATTCAACTGATATTATTTTCTAATTATAATCTTTGTACTGGAACATTTGCGACTTTGCAATGACGTGCGTTATACAGTAAATGGGCATTATTGGTATAGTAATGACATACGTGAAATCCTTTGGCCATTGTACTGTGTGCTCCTGACGTCAGAATAGTACATGGTTCTTTCTGACTACTGGAAATATGGAGCCATACTGCAACAGAAAGTCCCGATGTACATGTTACGGGGTCACCAAGGCAACTTGAAGCTGACACCAAATCTGCCAGTAAAACCTGCGTTGTTCCATTGATAATAATACAGTTACCAGACACACCTACATTACAGCAAAGAAGACTGATTTAGATAATGTTATAATATAAAATAATATTTCTTCAGATAACGACTACTGGTAATTTAAGTAAACTAAATAAAATGTATTACCTTCATCGAGACTAACATCTTCTATCTTACTACTAATTACGCCATCAGATTGCTGCTGATTATCCAATATTTTCAACTGAGAAGCGTCTGAAGTGGGGCCAAATGCTTCGAATGACCAGTAAAAAAACGATGTTCCATAAACTAAAATAAATAAAACAATTAGAATAACACGTGACTCAATTATCCGATATAATCTCATATGTCATTGATTTCACACTTACCCAGAATGCGTTTATTATACCAAAACGCATTGCATTCATATTTGTTCTGGTCGATTGTATTTGTCAGTGATTTATGTAATATAGATTTGAATATATGTATGCTATTTTTTCTTTCTCTGGTAACGAATCTGTCTTAACCAATTACATGGAAAATTCCACAAACCACCACACTGTCACTGTGAGTCACGTTTTGACCACAGTCCCCAAGAATGTAATTTATTATGTGAGACTAGTTGTCAGTTACGATCTCGCCACATGTGAATGGCCGTCATAGGATTGCGGAAACGTCGAATAACAAATTATAAAAAGACCATGTCATTCAAATCATAAGGCTTGTGTGCTGGAAAACAATTTTCGCCGATAGTTGATCACAATGTTGTCCTAACACATTAACTTAATGGGATATCGACAATTACGGGGTAGTTTGTACTATAAATAGATCGCCATATGCTGTATTCAATATTATACACTAATGAAAAGCAAGTGTAGATTTGACACCTAACAGCGATAAGTCAGTATATCATATAACTCAAACACTATGCAAATATCATTTTCTCGTTTCTCAATTTAAGACGAATTCAACCCTGTTACCATATATTTATTTCCTGTTAAGTTTAGATGGCTAATTATTCATCCCGTCTCATGTGTAATCGCATTATAACTTATCTGGTATTCAATTTTCAACTATTCACTGGTCACGAGGATTTCTAATCAGTCAGCATTCGTTTGGTTGAACACTGCGATCTAATGTACGTTTCATTGTTTGCATAGAGCAAGAGTATATAATTCGAGTTTAAGAGAGCGTAGAAAGCAAATTGGCTCATTATTTTCGCTATTTGCCATCCGTTATCAAACGCAGCAAAAACTTGGCATAGGCTGATGATAACTTTTGCAATTTGATCGTTGAATTGATATTTGTCATGTTGTCTTCTGTTTCGTATGAACACAAGATAAACGTATAAAACGTGAAAATAAATGTTTACATCGATTGTTATCTGACAAAATATTTACCAAAAGTTGAAAATCTTACTGGTGAACACCCCAAACCATTAATAATTTGATTAATAATTTAGATTTGATTGGTCAATCGAGTAGTGAATTTCACATGATTGTGACGTATTTCGGTTTCTATGACGTCACGCTTACCAGTACTTGCAATTGCCCATTGAACGTGATCGCATATGTTTTGATGATAGTATAATTTCCAAAGCTATTTTACCACAAGCGTTTTTCTTTTGGATTTTAAAGGAGGGAACACGACGTATCATTTTTACACATACGTTTACTGTATACATGAGCGGTAGAGCGTATTTATACGATTCTGCAAATGGGAAATATATTCAGTAGACATCTGCATTTGAACGATATTTCATGATTTATATGTCACAATGCTGAATATCAAACAACTCTATACAGCAGTAAAGAACGGCATAGATTACTATGGGATACCATGCACCTTTATACACACAATCAACATAATCAAACCTATTTCGCTGATATAAATTGATTTTGTCATATTAATAGCCAATATTTACTTTATTTAAGTCTGTTACGTACAAGGTAAAATTCAACGGGGAACATTTATACGGGAACACTTGTGTCCAAGGCAACAGACTCAGTCAGAAATAGACATGATGTAGAGCGAGTGGATTTATGGATCGTACTTAAACTACAAAATGGTAAAACTATATTTTAATTTGCAGATCAGAAAAGCATATCTAATATTCACCATATTCCTTATTTGCATTTGACATTGCTAGTAAGTGTTAATTAAACTTCTCCCCAAAAAGTTGAATTGTACATACTCGGATCTGTAAGGTTAGGTACACGTCATTCGCCACGTGACCAAACATTAATAAGGCGCCCTATGTAGATTCATTGCAGTGGCGATGATTAGTCTCAAACGCGACGCCTTTATCAATAGGCGTCAATTAGTATAGCTGTGCATTTTGTTAAATGTAACTTTATTATTAAAATATGTCGATGTTCGTACAATACTCAAAAGATTGCATTAATTTTTTTACCAAAATCATAAACCTACACAAATGTATTCTTTGCGTAGTGACCTGCTCTAACTAAGACAGATGGTAGTTTTTTCTTCTTACGATTCAATGTTACAAACAAACCATACGTGCTTTATTAATTGATTTTCTTGATGTTTTTTTAATGCGAATATGAAATATATGCGACGATGGCAAGCCTACAATAGGTCATTTTCGTATATTTCGTATTGTGTCCGATTACGTCAGCCAATTGTAGCCTCCGAGTCGTTCTCAGTTTGCTCACGACGCGCATGGTTACAAGCTCATAGCGCTTGCAATGTACGAGGCAAATATTTCTACTTAATAACAAAATATAAAATAAAAATAAAATAAGAAAGTAAAAAACCAACTATTTATCAAAATTCGCTTTGTGTCGAAATATTATTAGTTTAAACAATCTCATTAATATTATTATATACATTAATATTGAACCAATTGTACTTACACGACAATTCAAATTATGATATATCGAATCAACATTCGTAAAATACATCAATATTTCAATGTTTTTTTCAATAAATTTGGAAGACGGCATACTTAAATTAGACGGCTAGAGTAGGAATTCCAATATCAACCGAAATAACTGAATGTAAAGTCAACCGTTTTGTGGAAAAATACTGTTCATATCAATATCAGTTTTGAGTAACTTTAAATAGTCGTCTTTTTTGACTCACCCTTGCTAGATGTATTGCATGGAGGTTATAAAGACAATGGATGTACTTGGTTTAATCTATGATTCGAAACATCAATACTGAACATGAAAAACCATGACATCCATAGTTGAGAAAATTACAAAAATATGTGACTTATATTTTTTGGGGTAACATATTCAAGATACTTTTAGCGATTTTCTGTAATTTCGAGTTTAAAGCCACAATTGTTTTTCATAAGTTGAACTAATATTTATGGTGTTTTAACGAAAGCTATACTGTTAGATTGTTTCTAATGTAGAATTGAAGTAGCTGGTTATTGGCACGTCAGCTGAGTTGTTTAGCGTATATCCTAGCAATTAAGTTTAATTGACATACTTCAACATTTATATGACTCGTAATTATTATTGTTTATTAGGACATCTATATTATTATCGGATCTATTTTTTTTATGTGTCATCCCAGCTCAAACGCAATGGTGTGGAATAGTCAACGTATGACGTCATAGATTAAATTTTATATAAAAAGTAACAATTGTTATACTATTTATTGTTCGAACAAATTCATTCATCTTTCTTATACCATGCCCCTAATAAATGTACGTGGATATCGGAAATAAGCTGGCATACTTCTGTACATTTCTATAATACAATTTCCAGGCTTCATAAATAGCGTGGCTCTAACGCGATGGAATTCATTGCGTACATTGCAACTGAAAGAAGTGGTCATGGTTCTTCCAGTTCATTGCATTATGTCATAACTTATAGTGACAATGTCATTACGTCATGTGAATAGTTGTGTTGTTTAACATATCAGCTATTTACATAAATAATTATGCGCCGTCACAGAAGCACCGTTGTCATATTTCAGGGTTTTTTGGGTAAATTTCCTACTCCTGTAATAGTATAACTTTGGGCTCAAAGTTTCATTCACATAAATAACTGCACGTGGTTCTCCACAAGGAATGCAGAATCACGGAAAATATTGCATGCGACGTTTAGTATATCCGGTAAAGTTCTCAGCAAGATATAACGCAAACAAAGTTCGTCGAGAAAAATGCTAGAATAAAATTCACTACGCATTGACTGGTTGAATCCAGAGATGCAGTGAGCTGCAGATGTGTATCGCTGCACTATGAAGACTAATAAGCATATATTCGAGAATCTAAGACATACATCAAGTTTATATTTTAAGCTGATCCCAACATATTCTGTCCACTATACAATCACAGTTCTATTGGCAGTGATGAGTTAATACTAAATCTTCAATTAACATCCGTACGTCAAAAACGTGAGAAACATTGGTTTGACATTTACGAATAATAAGATCAATTCTGACTACAATTAGTTTCTACATCCAATAACTGCAATACGTCGAGCTATAATCGAACGCCGAGGCGTATAAATTAAGTCTGATTTGTATATTTGACACCTTCGCTAATCTAGGCACTAATAAGAAATCTCTAACTTAATATAAAACGAGTATTGGAATGACAACTAATCAATAATATTGCAATTTGCATTTGCCAGAACTCAGACGGATGTAATTTGAAGCCCGTGAACCTGAACCTGAGTTGTGAATCGCGTGTGGTTTGTCGTCAAGGGCAACAATACATTATGGCAACCAATAGTGACGTATTAACCTAACTGTCTATACATTGCACAGTGTCTTCCACTCGAGTTTTCCTTAAACCCACAGTATGTGACTTTATTACGATATATGATGAAACCCGTTTATCATCACAATTGCAGATTTTTACGCTGACCAACCGTTACTACAAATTAATTTCACGGGCTGGTTAATAGACAATGATGGAACGCGGAGTTTCATTTATGTATCCACATGTGTCTGAAAGGCCTGAAGGTGTAATAAAGGAACACCGGTCTTACTTCAAATTAAAATATCATAGACTTACAAAATATCAATAAATACGAGTATAAAAGATGGTTATGACATCAATCCCCAACTCTACAATCACCATTCATCCATATCTAATAGAAAATGTAATACGAGTCAACACCCTGCAAGCTAATAACACACGGTAATAATAAGTAACACGACTCGCTATTACATCACATCAATATATATATTATATATAACAATAAAGTCCTCCGCTAAATTAACTGAACATATTATTCACACAATGAGAAATTTTATAAAGATATCTTTGGGTATGGACGTCATAGAGTACAATTAATGAATATAGACATCACTAGGTGAGTAGATAT